CTAGTTTTAAATACATTTGAGTCTATGTACTAAACACAGAATGTTGTCCAGATGGACAAAATTCGGTGAAAATAATTGAACTCCAACCAGATAGCCTATTCTCATATTTACTTTAATGTTCTCTTATAGTAACTAGTAAAAGCACTGGCCACTATCTTACTCTACTGTGGGTGGGGGCTGGGATGGGAAAATACAATTTCCCCTTATATTTTACTAATGATCCCCACCTTGCGGTGATCGGGAGTGGGAGCTGGGCAGTGGACAGTGAACCTTCCATTCCCCCATTATAACAAACCCTGAAAGAGATGCCTGCTATAGGCCAGTGCCATGTCCCCCCACAGAAATGTCTTATTCACATAAGCTTCCACTGGCTGCCCACTCTTTTGTAGGCATAACCCAGGGGCATAAGGAAGGTTTTAAACATCCCTTATACTTATATTTATACTTGTATCACCTGACTAGTTACAGAAGAAAGTCGTATATAATACTTCTTAAGTCTATACTAAGTGGAGCATTAATTTTTCCCATATAAGGGAGAGAGTCTTGTTTAATATACGAGCAACTAGTGTGTAGCTTGTGCTTAAAGAGTTAAAGGACCACTATAGTGCCAGGAAAACAAACTAGTTTTCCTGGCACTATAGTGCCCTGAGGGTGCCCCCACCATCAGGGTCCCACTGCCGCCGGGCTGAAGGGGGAGGAAGGGGTTAAAATCTTACCTTTCTCCAACGCTGGGCTCCCTCGGCACTGGGGACTCTCCTTCTCCTTCGGTCGTCATCGGCTGAATGTGCATGCGCGGCAATTGAGAATGCTTTCCTATGGACGCTGGCGTCTTCTCACTGAGAAAATCACAGTGAGAAGCGTGGAAGCGCCTCTAGCGGCTGTCAATGAGACAGCCACTAGAGGCTGGATTAACCCATTTGTAAACATAGCAGTTTCTCTGAAACTGCTATGTTTACAGCAGGCAGGATTAATCCTAGATGGCCCTGGCACCCAGACCACTTCAGTGGGCTGAAGTGGTCTGGGTGCCTATAGTGGTCCTTTAAAGAGTTAAAGTGACACAACAAGTGAAATAATAATAATATATTTTCTACTAAGTAGTCAAATATATTGGCTTGTAACTCTGAATAATGGCCTCAAAAAAGAATCCTGAAAGTCGGGTCCTTAAAAAAGATAAAAAAGAGACCAAAGATATCAGATCTGAAAAAAGGCTGTCACATTTTTTACTCCAGAATCTCCAAGCGTGGGGGAAATAAGTGAAGGTGCCTCATGTATTCAAACTGAAGATAGAGAAAACAATACCCTTTCCGTTAATGAGATGCAGGCAATGTTTTCTGAAATCTTGGAAAAAAGCCAACAGCTATTACTTGAAAAAAATCTCCTTAGAGCTTCAAAATAATGTTAAAGAGATAAAAAAAAGATATTGCTGCAATAAACCAAAAAATGACAAATATTGAAGAAAGGCTGGAGACTTTGATTTTCAACAAACCAAGATGCAAACACAATATGATCAATTATCTACCAAATATGGTGATTTGGAACAAAAGCAAATATGCGATTTAGAAGACCGCAGTCAGCGGAATAATTTCTGTATTAGAGGAATCAACGAACAAGTTACAGGTGATAAATTACAGGAATATTTGTTTAATTTTTTTCGGGTCGTTTGCAAAGCTTTTAAGCCAAATGAGAAAATAATGGACAGATTCCATCGCCTGGTCAGACCAAAGGGGATACCAATATCGCCCTTTAGAGACGTTATCATATGTTTCCATCATTATTGGTTCAAAGAACAGGTTATTCTCAAACACAGATCCAAAATGGAGACAAAAGCAAATTATACTTATCGAGATTTGAAAATATTCCAAGGTTTGTCTTGGCATACAGGAAAAGGAAGAAGATATTTTGGGACAGTGACTAATATTCTGAGAAACAGATCAAGTCTAAATAGGGATACCCGACGAAATTAATAGTAATGCAGCGGAATTACATAGAAATTTTCTCTGACCCCCAAAGGGCATCTTTGTGGCTCCAAAAGAAATCTTTGCAATAATTGTATATACTGGTCAATAAGAAAATGGCTTTTATGTGTTCTTTAAAAGATAGTAAGAAGAAGGAAGGGAAGGGGAAAAAAAGGAAAAGGAAAAATATTTATATAATTTTTTTAATTTTTTTTAGTTATTGTGGTAATAATCATTTGAATTTAACCAATAGACTTATAGAAAGTATCCCTCTAAAACAATACTTAATCACACCTTAAATAAGTAACACTTACACTGGTATAACTCCAGGTCGATAGATAATAGTGGGAATACAATTACGAATGGGAATCACAAGTAGAGAACAGGAATAATAATATACACGATGTTGATGCATATTTTTAAAACATAAATAATGAAAAATAATGAAAATTGTGAGATTTGCACTAGTATTAATAATTCCCCAATTCACAGAGCAACATATTTCATTATAATGCACAGTAAGGATACAGAGGGGCATAAAGGAGATAGTATTAATAATTGGGAAGTTAGGGAGATAGAAAGCAGACAAGATATAAGATCACCTGTAATAAAGCGGAGAATAGAATTGCTCCACAAAAATTGATTGGTGAATAGTTTCACCAATAAATATACAGAATAGGATTGAAATCTTTTTGCAACAATCACATTTCAAACCATAATAAGGCAATATTATAGAGATAGGGGAAGAAGATGGTAAGGGGATGTGGAAGAGGGAAGAACTTGTCAGTAGATTGTTGGTCTAATATTATATGTGATAGGATTATATGCAATCATAACTTAATAATTATGAGCAGTATATTATAAGTATGCATATAAGCTAGAACATTCTAGGGAGATGTGTTTTTTTTAGTAAGACTATCTTTTTTTTTCTTTCAATAATATGACTTATGAGTTACCACCTTTGTTGGGCTTAACCTTTATAGCACCTCCTAGTATAGAGTTGCTATGGGTTGTAGTCTCTGCTGTTTTTGGTGTATACAGGGTTTGTATACAGGGTATCCATGTATGGGTACATAGATAGTGGGGTTTGGGCTAGGGTTATATATCGACCCTATGCGGTTTTATACTGTATGTAATGTATTGTCTATGCCATTCATTGGGATTAAGCCAGAGTTGTACTTACTGGAAGGTCTCAATAGTTCCTTTAAAAGATCAGCTCTTATAGAATTGATTAAAGAAGAGCAAATTCAGGTATGTTTTTTACAAGAGACCCATTGGGTGAAGTCGGATAGAGAATTTTATTTAGGTAAGCAAAAGGCGGTATTGATTAGGGCGTCGATGGAGGGGGAATAAAAAAGGGTGGTTCCTATATGGTTAGCAAAAGGCATTTCTTATGAGAATATTTATCAGGAATGCGATCCTCAAGCCAGATTTATCATATTAATATGCAAACTTGATAATGTACTTTATAATTTGGTTAATATATATTCACCCAATATTGGACAAGTGACCTTTGTGAACGATATTATTATGAATATAGAACAGATAGCTAAGGGCAGCTTGATAATAGCGGGAGATTATAATTGTGTAATGGACACTGAATAGGACAAGAGGATTCCTACAGGAGAACAGATAGATGGTGTGCTGCACTGGATAGCTAGGGCTCTCTCCACTCTCTTTAAGAAGGCAACTTTATGTGATGTTTGGAGACTCCTCCACCCCCAAGTGTATGGCTTTACTAATTTTTCTCATAGCATTGTTTCTATGCAAGAATTGATATGTTAGTTGGTAATATTAAACTAGTTAATTGTATTTGAAATATCTTTATAAAGACTATTAATTGGTCAGATCATAATGCGGTTATATGGAAAATAGATGCTAACCAGAAGAGCAGCACACGACAGTGGAGGTTGAGCGAGGCCCTTCTGAACAGTGATTAGAATAGAAAACACATTGATCAGATGACAGATTTTTATTTTTTAGTAAACAAATTAGCAAATCCGGGGTCATTTGATTAAACTGGGTATATATGAAAATAAAATGAGAGGTAGTACCTTGGATGATTTACATCTTACCTGATATAATTTGGAACAAAATAACAAGATTAGACCTACGAAGGAAGGAAGGTGCGGAAAACATTAGGCATGTCAGAGATTGGATAAATGAATTAAATATAACCAGAATTTCTAATAATTTAGAAAAACTAAAACAACATTGGTACATTAAAAATAACTGAGTAGATAAAATGCTTACCAAAAAATTAAAAAAGCAATTAGGGTACAATAGGATAGATAAAATAATCCATAACAATAAGATCTCCTGAAGAAATTGGCCATAGTTTTTTATAGGATGAACATTTTTGCTACCCTTGGTATATAGAAAAGAGAGAATATAGCAATCTGTATGCCTCACAAGGCAGTGTAATAGTCTGAGTAGCATTATATATAGTAGGACTGTAGAGAAAGTTTTTTTGACTGGATCAGGAAATTCATGTTAGGAGAAGAAATTGAATTAGGAGCAGAGAGGTTTATAATCCAGTCGATTTTGATGTTGAATTGAGACAAAGCTTGTGCAGGTACAAGTCTAACAGCTCCTTACAGTGTGGGAAGATGAAACACACAACATCTCTGTATTTACCAAAGGCCAGCACAAACTCAGGAGCAGAAAATTTCTTATTCAGTCTTGGATCCCTAGCTTTTAGAAGCACAGGCAAGTCACCAATGGAAGCTATGAGTAGGGAGACTAAATTAACAGCTTTACCCTCCAGGATTTCCTTTCTAAAATTGTGAGGGACTCTATTACTGATGGCACTAATAGAAATATAGAATGTGACGGCAGATAAGAACCATTCGGCCCATCTAGTCTGCCCAATGTTCTAAATACTCTCATTAGTCCCTGGCCATATCTTATTGCTAGGATAGTCATATGCCTAGAATAGAAGGTATTACATATGACAGCACAGTGTGGCTATTACTGCTGGAACTGTCACTGCTGTTCCCTGTATTCTAAGAATGTCCCTTCACAAACCTAAAAAGTTCTGCTTTCCTAATCCATTGCTGGGAATGGAATTTTCTTTTGTCTGAGATCTGCAGTGGTCATCGATATTGTCCAAGACCTTATGGAACTTGGTCCTGCTGAATCCTGTAACCTGGTAGGAGAGCTGAGCCTAACCGAAATCCCAGAGAGGAAGACTTCATCACCTTGTTCTGATGCTTGAAACATGCTGGTTAGCTTGTTAATATGTAACACACTTTCACCACACTGGTTCCATGAACTGGCTAGCTGTCTATTGCCAAGAAAAGAAAGACTATTGAATGGGTGACAGATGAGGGCCTGTTAGATGCTATGTGGCAAGAAAAGCACTACTATGGATGTGATGAGGAAGCTTGGAGGGCATCCGATGATGTGGAGGGGTGTTGGCCGAGAAAGGATGAGTAATATCCTAGTAGGCGCACTAACTAAGGCATCACATGCCTGAAATAATAAGCTCTTGAGCTCCTAGATTACCCTAATTCCAGTTCAGCTGTCCCTGACTTTAACCATGTACAACAAAAGGGGTTATAAAGAGTATGAATTGTGTACAAAGTCACCGAGATAAATACCTTATGGTGACTTAGACAAATTTTATAAAAATATCCCTGAATGTCAATATTATAGTGAGACACAATAATGAACATAGGGATTAAGCTAATGTGCAAGTTGGAGATGTATATAGAGATTAATAATGTGACACCAATACTTTCCTTATAACAGAATGGTACCATAATCCTGAGCTTCCAAGTAATAAGGAGAGGACCTAATAACCAAAACATAAGAAAAGTCACCTTAGGCGGGGTTGAAAATTGTGTGCAACCTGCCAGACGTGTTGGTAATACTTAACTACGGTTATACAAGTTTAGATGGAAAACCTTTGTGGGGGTTTTTTTTACACAAAACATCTGATTCATGAAAACCTAGTTAAACTTCAGTGTAATTTATTAGAACTTGAGAAGATAACACCCCTCTGGCCCAGGAATGCCATAAATACTCAAATACTCACACATCCGACTCACCTAACTTAACATCTCAAAAGAAAAACCATCAGATAAATAAGTAGAATAAGAACACAATAAAGCATGACATATGCAGGACAACACATGACTAATAATAAGACTAACAAGTCACAGTATCTGGCACTCAGAGGCACTACTCTCAACTTTGGACTGCTGCCTTACAATCTCCACATAAACAACAAGCTTGTATCGAAGAATTTGCCCCCATCCATGTCTGACAGTTTGGAAAGCTCCATCTCATTTGCTCTGCTATGCCCTATGTGATGCACTTGGATATACTGTGGATCTGTACATCACATATATGTAATCTAACCCGAACTAATAATCACATAAGTATGTGTGTCTGGTGTTTTTGTGGTTGTGTTTATTATGTGTTTTAGAATAAAATGTGAGGGTTTATATATATATGTTTGTGAGACCTGTCCTATGACATTATAAAATGTCATGGGGTTCTAGTGCCCATTACAGACAATTTGGCCATGATGTTAAATCAAATGTTTATTAACAAAGTGTACACAGATAGTATAAGTGACTTATCTGATTTTACTTACTAGAGGTGGTCTCTACAGTCCTGCTTTAGTCCCTAATGAACCTCAGGCTCATTAACTTGATACATTTATTGTAAAGTAAATATACTTAACTATGAATGGCCAATAAAGACAGAACTCTAGCCATGGGGAATTTAAAAACATCTGTTCTACAAATGTTCAAATTTTCAGCAGAAATTTCCTTCAAACCTTAAGTAAGCACATTTCTGCCTGGCTGATAACTAAGGATGAAGAAACTTACTTTTCAGTGGCTGTGGGAATTCCTGGGAGAACCAAGACATTTTCATATGTCAGCTTAAAGATGATAATGTTAACTGGGAAAGGAAATGTAATATATAAATAAGTAAGTATTAGAAAGGAACTAGAACATTGCCTACAGATATCAATAAATGAAAAAAATGAATAATTTGTTATAAAGTTTAAAACTTATTTTTATTCTTATACTTTAAAAAAGGGGGAGGAAGAGAATAATGTCTAAGGAATCACACAGTGAAAAATAAGGTACTATCATGCAAATATAAATTGATAGACCTTCCAGAAAACAACAAAGAAGAAAACGAAAAAAAGAGATATATAAAAATATGTATATATATGCTCCTTAATTGCAGTTTGTATCCAACCCTCTGGTAATGCATCTTGGACGTAAAAACCCAAGGGCAGAGTACAGAATATTTGATAGAGTTCTAACCTCAACATATGAGGAAAGGGATTTAGGGGTGATTATTTCTGATGACTTAAAGGTAGGCAGACAATGGAATAGAGCAGCAGGAAATGCTAGCAGAATGCTTGGTTGTATAGGGAGAGATATTAGCAGTAGAAAGAGGGAAGTGCTCATGCCATTATACAGAACACTGGTGAGACCTCACTTGGAGTATTGTACACAGTACTGGAGACCGTATCTTCAGAAGGATATTGATACCTTAGAGAGGGTTCAGAGAAGGGCTACTAAACTGGTTCATGGATTGCGGGATAAAACTTACCAGGAAAGGTTAAAGGATCTTAACATGTATAGCTTGGAGGAAAGACGAGACAGGGGGGATATGATAGAAACATTTAAATATATAAAGGGAATCAACACAGTAAAGGAGGAGACTATATTTAAAAGAAGAAAAACTACCACAACAAGAGGACATAGTCTTAAATTAGAGGGACAAAGGTTTAAAAATAATATCAGGAAGTATTACTTTACTGAGAGGGTAGTGGATGCATGGAATAGCCTTCCAGCTGAAGTGGTAGAGGTTAACACAGTAAAGGAGTTTAAGCATGCGTGGGATAGGCATAAGGCTATCCTAACTATAAGATAAGGCTAGGGACTAATGAAAGTATTTAGAAAATTGGGCAGACTAGATGGGCCGAATGGTTCTTATCTGCCGTCACATTCTACGTTTCTATGTTTCTATGTTTCTATGTAAAGGTTGGTAACAAAAGAATCACTTTGTTGCTACTGAAGGAGTTTGCAAAGAATGTGTAGCACTGGTCCAAACAGCGATAGTGACAGAAACTGCTGGTTAAGCTGAAGTATCAGTACGGAAAGCATATATAATACATATAAATTAGTCAATTAAAAGGTATTAGCCTGAATAAAGAGCTAAAGCAGTGGTACTTTATAGTGCTTAAAAGGGCACCTTTTATAGGAGTAAACGTAATGGTAGGTACTCCACAAGAGCAACAGTGCTAAGAGGGGGCACCAATCATGAGAAGGAACGTTGTAACAGGTACTGGCCGAATAACCCATATATTATATTCCTGGGATCAATATAGTGAGTTCCTTTGTGATCTTAGCTCACCTGCTAAACTGTGCCTTCATGGGCACCTAATTAGTAGTAAATCTTAAGCTGACTGAGGTTACTTAGTGATCTGAGCTATGATACTAAACTATGCCTTCATGGGCACCTGCTTGTTAATCTTTAACTGACGTGCCTAAAAACTAGCTGTCTGTAGGTTCCTGTGCTGTGCCTTCCAGGGCACATATTAGCTGTAGTTTCTTAGTGAATAAGATATTGCAATCTTCCTACGCTGTGCCTTCAAGGGCACCTATTAGCTGTAATATAAAGATAGTGCTATTACTGCTTTACTAAGGTCTGTCTAAGCAACTGGAGACCCTATAGCTCCTTGAATCAGATAGTTCAATTCAGGTGATCTAGGCTCAGAAGCCGCGTGGCTGTATTCCCAAGCTGGTGTCTGTGTTGTCATATGCGGCGGTAAAATGCCGTTTAGGAGAAGAAACTCTAGAGGCAGCCATGCTAAGTGAGCTTCCGAGCCGAGCCCCAACGCATGTTTCGCCAGGCAGGCTCTTCAAGGGGAATGAAAAGAAGAAGGACTAGTGCGTGGTTTTTATATCGGAGAAAGGGGTTCCGATAGGTTGACACTTCATGACCAAACGGCGGATTAGCACTGAACTGACGGTTGAGAGCACCAATAGCAATGCTCAACAGGTAAACGTCATAGAATGATACAATGAACATGTTGGTGTTTTCGGACTAACCAATAGGAAGACAGTCTGTATCAGCTCATCAATGGGAGGGGAGGGGCTTAAGAACTAAAAACCTCGTTATATTTCTAAATAGTGCTTAAAAATTGTTGTTTAAAGTTTTAACGTTATAATACACTGATGAATATGCAGTAAGCACCAAAGTTATGAGGTTTATTTGCAGGATACAGTGCCTTCCATTTATTATTTGATTTAGTTGATTATGCAAACATGATAAGTGTAAAATGAATATTCAATACTATGAATCCAATTTATTGTTAGCATTAATCGTTTGAGTCAGTCAAGGTGAAGCCAAAGGGTTGTCTATGCCAGAGAAGCATATTCAACTCAATTCCCTCACAGTTAGAACAAAAAATTAAGTGTTCAAATGTGCATATAGATATTTAGACCAGAATTGGTCATGAGGATTGAGTCAGTAAATTGATGAGGTATCTGATTTCATGTCATGCACCAAGTTATGAATTTGATTTGCATATTTATTTAAAATGTGAATAAAGTGTTTATACATCAAGTATTTGTGTATTGATTGTGGTTCTAGTGTTAGGGATTATTTATGAATAAATGAGGTATAGTTAAATTCCTCATTTAGATCAAGAGGGGTTTTGGTTTTGAACTTGAAAATCCATTTTGCTTCTTTTTGGAGCAGACATGAAAGTCACCTTTTCTCGAGTGTGGTTGCAACTTTTCGATGGCTTGAAAAGTGAGATGAGACACATTCGAGTTATGAAAACTGGTGATATGTCTTGCTACAGGGGTGGGAGTATTTACATTGGTAATTGGGTGGATATGCTGAAGTATCCTTCTTCTAAATTGTTGGAATGTTTTCCCGATATATTGTTTTCCACAGCTACATGTAATTAGATAAATTATTCTGGTAGTTTCACAATTGACAAAGGCATTGGTGTAGATCTTTAAATGATTTTGGTTGGACACTGTAATTTTTGTTGGTTTGATATATTGACATGCTTTAGTGTCCACATCTATATGTGCCCTTAGTCTGGGTTAGCCACATAGGATCTTGTTCTTTGGGGGGTAGGTAAGTATGTACAAGTAAGTCCTTGATGTTTCTAGCTCTCCGTGCAGTGAGCGATGGGAATTTGGGTAAAGTTTCCTTCAATTCGCTGTTATGTGCTAGTATTGGCCAGTTGTTTTTCATGATATCAGTCATTTGGTTCCAACCTGAATCATAGGTGGC